AAGGGTTTTTGAAATTTTCAGGACAATTCAGTTCTGCCACTTCAAACCTAGGGTGATAACCATAGTTTGCATAGAAAGGTGTCTCTTTTGTGGTGTTAGAGACTGTGTTGTTGTAAGCAAATTCTGCAAGATGGAGAAGATCTGCCCAGTTGTCTTGAGCATAGTTTGTATAAATTCTTAGATATTGTTCAAGTACAGAGTTGACTCTCTCTATCTGGCCATCTGTTTGAGGGTGATAAGCTGTAGAGAAGCGTTGTTCCATGTTTAAGAGTTTAGAGAACTCCTTAAAAAAGTTTGAAGTGAAAACTGCTCCCCTATCTGAGATCCAGTGTCCAGGAATTCCATGATATTTAAAGACCACCTTGAGGAATAGCCACGCAAGTTCAGAAGCTGTGATAGTCTCATTGCAAGGCTCAAAGTGTGCCATTTTTGTGAGCCTTTCTACCACCACAAGGATAGAGTCATAAGGGGTAGCACCCCCTTTTGGGATAGAAGGAGGCAACTTGACTATAAAGTCAATGGATATGGAGTCCCATGGGCGTTCTGGTATAGGTAGAGGCTGCAAGAGGCCATAGGGCTTTTGCCGTGTAGGTTTGTTCAAGTTGCAAGTAGTGCAAGAAGATATATAGTCTTGAAGAGTAGTCCTTAGACTAGGCCAGTAGAACTTTCTTGTTAGAAGTTCATAAGTTTTTGCAAAGCCAAAGTGCCCTGCAGCTGGAGCATCATGGAACTGCTGTAGGAGGTGTAGCTGTAATCGTTTATCCCTTGGGACATAGATATAGTTCTTGAATAAGAGAAGTCCATGCTGATTTTTTGAGAAATTCTGTAGTCCAACTTTCTCAAGAGAGGAACCTTTCTTCTGGAGGTATTCCAAAGTTCTTTTCGCAAAGGGATCATGGTTGTAAGCATCTTTGAATGCTTTAAGAAGTGTTGCTGAGGGTGTATAGTCTTTAAAGGTCTCTGGTTCCTGAGAAGAGGTAATTGGGGCAACTTGGTCTTGAGGGGATAAGTTTACCCCTAAGTCCTCTGTAGTACTAGGGTTGCTTAAAGATGCTGCTATAAGCTTTGCTGAGTCTAGCAGAGCCTTTGTATTGCTAGTTTTAGCAGAATCTTGGTAGTCATGTCTTCTTGAGAGGAGATCTGCTCTTTGATTCTTGGCCCCTGAGACATGTTTTATAACAAAGTCAAAACCTCCTAGTTGTTCAGACCACCTTGCTTGTCGTCTATTGAGCTGTTTAGTGGTTGTAAAGGTCAAGAGGTTTGAATGGTCACTGTAAATAGTGATAGGATAGTTTGCCCCTTCAAGGTAGCATCTCCAATGCTTTAGAGAACATACTATGGCAAGCAGTTCCTTGTCTGTAATGGGATAGTTTTGTTCAGCTGCTGATAGCTTTCTTGAGTAAAATGCCACAGGCTGTAGCTCTTCTTGTTTGTCTTTTGGAGCTTGGTATAAGATTCCAGAAATAGCAAAATCTGAGGCATCTGTCTCAAGAGTGGCAGGTTTCAAGGGGTTAAAGTGTAGTAACATTTTCCCTTCTTTAAATTCTCCTTTAAGAGCATCGAAAGCATCTTGCTGTGTCTTATCCCAGTGATACAAAGTGTCCTTGTGAAGTAATTGAGTAAGGGGTAAAGCCAAGGATGTATATCTTGGTATAAACCTCCTGTAATAGTTGGCAAACCCAAGGAAAGACTGAACCTCTTTAATGCTGGAAGGAATAGGCCACGTTTGTACTGCTTTTGTCTTTTCAGGGTCCATCTGAATGCCTTCTGTTGAAATTCTATGTCCTAAGAAATCAACTTGAGACATATGGAAAAGACATTTCTCAAGTTTGCAAAAGAGTTGTGCTTGAGATAGCTTCTCTAAGACTTGTCTAACATGTAGAACATGCTCTTGAGTGTCTAAAGAGTATATAAGAATGTCGTCTAAGTAGACAACAACAAAGATATCCAAGTAAGGTCTTAGAATATCATTCATGAGAGCTTGGAAAGAAGCAGGTGCATTGGCAAGCCCAAAAGGCATTACCTGGTATTCAAAATGACCATAGCGTGTTCTGAATGCTGTCTTCCACTCATCACCTTCCTTGATGCGTATCAGGTTATAAGCTCCCCTGAGATCTAACTTGGTAAAGATCCTTGCTGAAGAGAGCCTATCTATGAGCTCAGGGATAAGGGGTAAAGCATATCTGTTTTTAACAGTGACTGCATTAAGGCCCCTATAATCAACACAGAGACGCAAGGAGCCATCTTTCTTCTTGACAAAGAGAATGGGAGCTCCTGCTGGTGAGGAAGAAGGTCTGATAAAGCCAGAACTAAGGTTCTCATCTAGGTATTCTCTGAGAGTTTTCAGCTCTAATTCAGATAGAGAGTAGATAGGGCCGTAGGGAGGCATTGAGCCTTCTGCGAGTGGTATCTCATGGTCATAAGGCTGGTGCTTTGGCAGAATTGATGCCTTTGCCTTGTCAAAAAGATGTTGGTAGTCTTGGTATGCTAAAGGCAAAATGACCTCCTGAGATGATTTCTCCAAATCTGAAGTAGCTGCTATCTCCAGGACAGGTTGGAAAGGTTTAACCCATATCAGAGATGATATATCGTCCATAGTTTGGTCAAAATCCTTGATCTGGGACAAGTTTGAGTCTTGGACCTGAATAGGGGTAACTGAGGCTTGAAGGGTTTTTTCAGTATTGAGCTCAGGATTTGAGCTAAACCCAAGCGATAAATGCTTCCAATTGATAGTTGGATCATGCCTTTGAAGCCATGGAAGACCTAGGATAACTGGGTACTTCATTGGTATAACATCTAAAGAGATGGTGTCTGAAAATGTTGATTTTCCTAGGGGAATCTCAAGTTTGAGTACTGGGGTGTTGCAGGTAATGGAACCTGAACTGATAGGAGTTCCATCAATGACTCGGAGCAACTCTGGAGTGCGTTTGGGAATTGTAGGTAACTGGTGTGTCAAGATGAGGTCTTGAGATATAAAGTTGCCTGTTGCCCCTGAGTCTATCATAGCCCTTGTAGACAACACCTGTTGTTTGAAATGGAGTTGAATAGGGATTAACAGGTGTGTGAGACTCTGAGAAAGCACCATCGACACATCTTTGTTGTCTAGGGGAGAAGTTATAGTCTCAGTTGAAGTTGTGCCTGCTAGGGATTTTTCAAGTTTTTCAGGAATAGCAGTTGTGACTGTGTCTGAGGCTGCTATATGTTTTGAATCAGCACTCCCCCGTGCTGAATAGCACTCCTGAATTCTGTGTCCCCCTTTGCCACAGTATAAACAAAGGTTGTTGTCCATTCTGTGTTTTCTTTCTTGAGGGGTAAGTTTACCCCTTTTCAGTTTTTGAGGGTATCCTGTAGGCTGAGGTGCTGGATTTGCTGTAGATCTCTTTATAGAGGCGTCTAAGTCCATAGGTTCAGGTGCTGAGTCCTTAGCAGTTGGTGTAGAGGTGTAATTGTTGAAATTTCTTGTTGGATGCCAGTCTTGGTTCTTCTCCTTTCTTCTTTCAAAAAGCCTATCATCAAGTCTGACAGCTTTCTCTATAAGCATTTGAAGTGTTGTAGGGCGTTCTTCTTTGCTGAGTTCATCCTTAATAGAGCTCTTGAGCCCTTGGTAGTAAGTGAAGACTAAGGCTTCTTCATTCCAAGTCAAGTGAGAAGTGATTCTCCTAAATTCTGTTGTATACTGAGCAGCAGAGGTCTTTTGACATAGCTTCTGTAGCTCTCTTTCTGCTGTAGCAGTTTCGTTAATGTCTCCAAAGGTCCTGGTAAGTTCCTCTTGAAACTGGTCATAAGAGGTAATCAAAGGTGTAGTGGTATTTTGGTTGTTGCCACTAAGTCTTCTAAGATATGGCTCAAAGAAGTTGAATGCAGATCCACGGAGGTAGCTGGCAGCGAAATAGATCTTCTGAATGTCTGAGGTGAACTGATGAGGCCTGAGGGTGAAGTAGATGTCCAGTTGCATAAGAAATCCCTTCAACTTCCTCCTGTCTCCATGGTATAAATCTGGTGTTTGCATTTTAGGAAGTGCACCTGGGGTACTCGAAATAGCCAGAGGAGCTGTGGGAAGCTCTGTATGATGTGTCTGAGTTGAAGATTGTGTTGCTGAAGTGTTGGCTTGAAAGGTGTTTTCCAAATTCTCAAGTTTGTTTGCTATAGCTTGTATAAAGGCAAACAGTTGTTGCATCTGCTGTTCAGCAGTAGTTGTAGGAGCTTGGTCGTCCTCCATTGTAGTATCGAAGTGCTGCTATAGAAATAGTTGAAGCTTGAAGCAGGCAAGGTGTAATGGTGGGTGCACCAGATATGAGAATCTAGCCACCCAAGGAAGGGATGAATTTACTAAGACAACACACTGTCTTAGGAAACAGAGCCAAAGGGTTGTAGCTTAGACTATTCCACAACGCAGCAATCAGGTGTATGATGTGGTGAAGTGGTTTAGACAAGTTGCAACAAATGTTGAGTCTGAGAACTCAGGGGTAAGTCAGAGGTTAGCACCTCACTGACTTTTCAAAAACAGAGAATAACAAGATCAATGCTTGGAAGCTTGGAAAAGACGTAGAAGTATGTGCTAGTCGATTTACTGTATTGTCTGCTTGCCCTTTCTTAAGGAAAGGGCAATCCTATTTATGCCAAAGGAGTGTAGTTCTCTCATTTTCCATGACTTTCCATGACTAACCAGGCTTGGTAAATGTATTAGAAATCAAGTGCGACCCACAACTAGCTTGCTAATCATGTAGTGAACGTAAGAGAATCCCATAGAACCATCTCTTGGGTTCCTAGCCTATAGGAAGTGAAAAGGAGGTCCAAGGTCAGAGTACCTATAGACAAATTATGTCATAACTTAACCAATCTTGTGGGTAACTAAGGAGCGATGACGTGTAATGAATCATAGAGGGTTGTAGAAGCTTCTAGAGCTATCGTTCATGTTCCTAGGCCTCTAGTTGGTAGAGATATGCCATGTGGTAGTATTGGCCCACCCCCTTAAGGAGGAGATTTTCTTAATAACTTGTTCAATGAGTGTCCAAATGATATGCCGTGATGTATGTAGCATAAACAGATGTAGTAGAAGAGTTTGCAGCAATCGTTGAGTAGTATTGCTTCTGTTGTTGGTGTGATAAGCCAAGATATGTATGGTGACTTGTAGGTTTGAGGAGGAGATTTCTAAGTTTGCTCTTGAGTTTGATAGCAAACTGAGTGCAACGAATGTCAGTATGACAGGCGGCCGACTTCTGGTAGTGTCGGATCTCGGCGACGATCCGTTCTTTCATATAAGTTAGTAGTGTGAACAATATTCTATTAGAAAAGAATAGCATACTGTTGACAGAAGCCTTGCTCAAAGGAGGGACAGGGCGAGGGGCTTGTTGTGGGAAGTTGGAGCCAGGGTGATCCCGCTCCCAGTTCCTTTTCTGGGCATTGTAGCTCCAGATCTTTTCTTGGCGGGCTCGGCGCGCAGTCTTGTGAATATCGACTGTTTGTTGAGTTAGTAACCTTGTATTGCTTGTAGGGTAGGGTGGAATACTTACCGTGGCGCTCAGGCTTTTGCTTGGTGCGAGCCATGGTACAGATGTGAGCGAGAGCGATATCTAAAACATGTTAATTTGCCATATTGTAGCAATTTGGCGTTACTGCTGGGCGTTACTGTAGTTGTAACGCCCAAAGAACAAAAGGGGTGAACTTACAAAGGTTGGTGACAGAAGGAAAAATTGCTAGAACTTGTATATTAGTAAAATAAACACAATACCGTTACTCTACAGCGTTACTGTAGGGTTAAATCAAATGTAAAGAAGATTGAACTTACCAATGTTGCTAGACGCGTTATCTCAGAATTGTTGTAGAAGTTAGGATCGAATTCGAAGTAAGGGCGCTTAAGTGTTGTTGCAAACAAAAAAAACTCCGTTTCTTGTTCCAAATCCGGACGTGTCAATAACAAAGAATAGTACGAGTAAGTTAGCAAAGAAACCACCCTTACATTTGATTACCTCTGATTATTAACTTTCTTTTAGATTTCCAAATTTATTGACTATACCGACCCCGACCAGTAAGTAGTTGCGCCCCTACTTTCAAAAGACGTCCGCCTTGTTAGCACATTGAAGTACTCTCACAACAGTATAATCAAAGCCAGTGCTAACAGTAACGCCCTATAGTAACGCTCATCAGCTCCAAATCGCCTCTAACGCAACTTTACCATGTCGTCTCCAGCCACTGCGAAGTCATATGAGGAGAGACGCGCGGAAGTCATTGCAGCTACTGCCCACACCATTGAGCTCGCTCAGAATGCGGACCGACAGGTATAACAATCCTACCATCCTGATATCAATTGTTCTAGAGCTGATAGCAAAGCTAGGCTATGAGCCGTGCACGCCGTACCCGCCAGGGTAAAGATGACTGGGAGGGCCTTACGGCCAATGAACAAGCTGCCGTGTTAGCTACAACGCAGCAGGATATCATGGACAGGCGCACCGCTCGTGGTATTGACGCCAATTCCCGCCTCACAGCCGCTATTAATGATGAGAGTGCGGCTATTGCGGCCATTAATGCAGAGGAGCTGGAGGAGAAGTTGAAGGCCCTACCAAAGGGCGAAGGCAAAGCTGTAAGTAATAGCTAAAACATGACGATACTATCTAACATAATGGTTAGACTGGCAAGACATCGACTAGCGACAGCGGTGAAGAAAATACCTTAAAGGATATCTGGGCCAGCAACATGGTCCCAGTCATTGAGCGCTGGGAGCGCAATATTGCCCTTGCTGGCAACATCCTTATGCCCGAACTCTCAAGGAAGGAGATCGAAGAGTTTGCTGGGGGGGTTAGCAACCCTGATAATATCAAAGAGTTCGTGAAGCAGTGGGAGAATAACAGCAATGCTGATGTTGAAGATGGGCTGGTAGATTTTGATGATGATGGTGAAGAAGTGGAGGTGGTTATATCAGAGGATGAGGAGGACGATGATGAGGACGAGGATAGCCTCAACGGCTTCATTGTCGGGGTTCGTGTAGAGGAGGAGGAGGTGGAGGAGGAGGAGGAGGAAGAAGAGGAGGAGGAGGAGAAGGAGGAGGAGGAGGAGGAGTAAATTCACGTCGTATACTGTACTATAGTATACTAAACCAATGGAGTTTTTGTGGTTACTGAATTCCATTTTGAGATCTTCTGCCGTTACTATCTGCCGTTACTATCTAATAAAACTATTTGTCAGTACTCCGAATAGTGACTACTGTACTCATAGTAACGGCCAGCAGTAACGGAAGAGAGCCCAAAAGCAAAAAGTCAGCATGCTTCTACTCCTCGGCTGAGCCAAGGAACACAGTCCGACCAATTAACAGTCAAACGCTCTTTGCAATTCCAATTCATATTACACTAGCTAGGATATACAGACTCTGCATCCAATAAAAATAAGGGCTACTACTCATCATCTCGGTTACACGTAGGCTACAGTAACGGCCAGCAGTAACGGAAGAGAGCCCAAAAGCAAAAAGCCAGCATGCTTCTACTCCTCGGCTGAGCCAAGGAATACAGCCCGGCCAATTAACAATCAAATGTCGGTTATACAGTTTAACTTTATATTATGCTACATAGGAAATATAATCGATCTGTATCTACTTAGGGTTATACACACTGCTCATTATCTTGTTATATGCTGTAGCAACAGCTAATAGTACTAGATATAGCTTCGGACTTTGAAATAAGATAGGGCTAATGTAGCAAATTGTTAAGCCAATGAAACCAAATTGCTGATTTTGTAATTTAAAACTCGTAAGCGTTACTCTCTAGCGTTATGGTAAACCTAATTAGAGCTAGACAAAATTGTTTAACTCCATAATACTATGTTCAACTAACACAAAATAGGAATAGCAAAGAGTAACGGCAATGAGTAACGGCAATGCGTAATGGCAATGCGTAACGGCAAAGAATAACGGCAAAGAGTAACGACAAAGAGTTCAAATATTACCCTATTGCAATGTGGCATTCTTGTATTCTGTACTACCATTTGTTCCGTTGCAAAAGACTATGAAGAAATGGCCGTCCTTCCAAAAGGCCTCACTTAACATTCATCATTCGTCTGATTGACCTACACTCCTACTACAGTACATTTTCTCTATCCTCTTAACAACATGTCGAGCCCAAGCCCATTTACAATGATGAATCAGTCACAATTTGAGCATCCGCTTACCTCTGACACTGAGGATATCAACTTGCCTTTCGAGCCAGCACTTATCTTCTCCCAAGATGATGTACTGAGTGGAATTGAAGCTCCTCTTGATGAACTTCTTGAAAAACTACCCAAGTCTCCTAATAATTGATATGTTATATGGAAGGAGGATACCGCTAACGAATGGCATCAATGGTGGACTGCGAAGATTTCAAACAACATCAATCGAGAGATATTCCAACATATGGTTTGGACAAGGTCGAAGAGGTCCTTAATATGGACTCAATTCTACCAAGGAGCTGAGGTCCGAACTGGCAATCCTAAGGTACTATGTCAGTTGTGTTGGAGGGCTTTTGCACACCCTAAGCTTCGACAAGGTGGGAGTAGCACATCTACTTTAACCCGACACACCAAATCTGGCGCTTGTAGTAGAAAGGATGGATCGCAAACTCATTTACACTTAGTAAGTTATCTATCCAGTGGTCTAGAGTAACGTTCTAGAGTAACGCTAATGACCTTCTTTAGCTGCCGCGTGCGCATTTGGAAAGGAATACCATACAGCCTTTCACACATACAGCATGGCGAGAGCAGTTGATTATAGCCATAATTTAATCAAGCCTCCCTTTTCGAATAGTGGAGAACAAGGAGGTGCGAAAGGTTCTAAACATGTTGAAACCCGACCTGGAAATTCCACACCGGACAGTTATACGCAAAGAATTAACAATGCAATTTAACAACGTCATGGAGAAGCTACTATTGGATTTACCGCCTATGGCAAAGGTTTCAATTGCCCTTGATGGATGGCAAAGTCCGTTCAAATTAGCGTTCTTAGCAATTACTGTGTATTATATCACTGATGATTGGCAATGGAGAGAGGTGAGCAGATTATAACTTATATAATAATATATTAACTTACTAACATACATCTTATAGTGTCTTATTGGTTTCGAGCCAATGACTGGAGTCCACTCAGGACAAAATATGGCAGCTGTTGTACACAATGTACTGGAACAATTCAATATTACGGGACGACTTTTTTGCGTGACAATGATAATGCATCAAACAATGGAACAATGCGCAAGGAACTTGAGAGCTACATGAGAAGTACTACACAAGAAGTAGAGTGGAGTAGTGATGCAACAAAAATACCATGCATGGCACATGTTATACAGCTAGTTGTAAAAGCTATGCTAAAGGCCTTCAATGTCGACATAGCTGAAGAAGTTATAGATGTTACTGGTGTTTCAATTACTGATGATACGACAATCACATCAGCTATTAGAAAGGTTAGTCCATGATAGTAACGCTTGATAGTAACGCTAACTGACGTCAAATACACAGATACGCACTCTTAGCAATCTTGTAAGCAGGTCTGCAAAGAAAACTGAATTATTGCTCCAGAAGCAATCTGATATAGAAGCAAAGAGACTACTGCAGCTAAAACGGGATATTGATATACACTGGAATTCTACATATGACATGATAGTCCGAGTGATAAGACTACGCATCCCAATTAAAAGTTGGCTTGAGGAACAGATTATTAAGGAGCCTCATCTTGATCAATTCGCATTATCACCAACCGACTGGAAAAAACTAAAATACTTAGTCGCTCTTCTGCGGCCCTTTGCAGAATTTACTCATCTTATTGGAAACACGAAAGACACTACAATCAACCATACATGGAATGTATACAATACATTATTTGACCATCTTGATGATATTAATCAAAAGCTATATAACAAGGATACAGCATCTAATCCTTGGGTAGACGAGTTTACTGCTGCTATTACTGCAGGTGTTGCAAAGTTAAGGCACTATTATACTGAAACTGGTGGTCCTGTTGAACAGACGTATGCTCTTGCTGCAATTCTTGATCCATCTCAGAAACTGGACATTTTTAACGCTCCTGAATGGGACCGTTCCCACTCAAAGAAGTACCGCCAAATATTCTTAGATTACTGGAAGGCTTACTATCAAAAAGATTCGAGGGACCAGCATGAGGCAGTACCGCCTTGCCCCTATACACCAACAAGTCTTAATGCGGTATTTCGGATGAACCGGCAGCTACATAAAGGGTGGCAGAGCCCATCAAGTACCAGCTATAATGAAGCTGAGCGTTATTTAAATGCGCCAGTGGTTAGTGCTGATGCAGATACTCCAGTGCTCCTAGTGTGGAAGACCTTAGAGCTCTCTTACCCTTCAGTTGCGAAGATGGCAAGGGATATCCTTGCAGTACCAGGTAAGCTCCTACAGTAACGGTTAAGAGTAACGCAAATATCTTACAAATCGCTTTAAACAGCTACTGGTACTGGAGTTGAGCGCATATTTAATATTGCCCGCGATATCCATGAATACCACAGGGCACAAATGAGTACGGCTACAGTTCGAGAGTCGATGATTGTTAAACACTATCATAGGTATAAGTGGGAACTTGATAATCATTGGGATAATATAGACCATGTATTTGGCGCTCCTGACCCAGACTCTATAATTGAGGACTCTGATCGACAAGTTGCTATGACGATGGTAATATCATCTGACGAGGAGGATGCTGAACAAGACCTACCAGACCCATCAACGCCACATAGAGCTACACAAGGTCGCAATGGAAGATTGGAAACTCAGAGGAAGCGAAATTTTGGGGTTCTAAATAAGGACCTTCAGAATGATGAAGCCTCCATTGATACTCCTCGACATTCGCAACGACTTAGAAGGTAGAGGAGGGTACTATTCAGATGTGGGTTAGAGTAACGGCTCACAGTAACGGAATATATCACTAATTAGCCTTATATAGCATTTGGAACCAGCTTGAACAATATATTATGTTAACTACTGCGATAGATACCAACCTTTGCGCTAGGTGGTAGGAAGGCTGGCCTCCCAAAGTCGACACAAACCTGTGTGCGATGGCGGTGGTGGTGATGGTAGGGAAGCCACTGTAAGCTGATGCATTCTGAGACATACGGCACTTATAACTCTAATGTAATTACCATAATTTATTATCTATATGATAAATTTATCCTAATTTCTATCAATATACCGTTACTATATACCGTTACTCTTGGTCACAGGACTAACATCGTGATCTACAAGCTAAATATACTAAACTTCAGTTCGGGCTTTTTAAAAAAAAGCTCGGATGGTAAAAAAGCCTAGACCGAACCACGGTCTGGTCTTAACCCTAGAGACTGGACCGAAGTTCAGTCCGGGCTTTGAAAAAAAGGAGGACCGAACCACAGTCCGGTCTTAACCCTAGAGACTAGACTGAAATTCAGTCCGGGCTTTTTAAAAAAAGGAGGACCGAACCACGGTCCGGTCTTAAATTTAAGGACTGGAACACTCATATAAGCGGTCCGGTCCAGTCCAGTCCGGTCTTTACGGTCCGGGCCGGCCAGTCTAATTCACCTACAAAGAATTACTGTTCCAAAAGCAACACCACAATGTGCACCTTCATATAAAACACATACCTTTCAACCTCTACCTCTTTTCTATACTCTTCTTCTGCAATATTCCTCCTACAAATTCACTGTATCTTTTGATCTACTTCTTTGTCTTGTGTTTACTTCACTAACTCACCTTGATATTAGCAAATGGCTCGTACCAAGCAAACTGCTAGGAGATCAACTGGCGGCACAGCACCAAGGATGCCACTTGGATTACGGGCTGGCTCTGGGCTTGGTGGAAAGGGAAAGGAAAAGGCCGTGGGCACAGCAAGAAAAGCTCCAGTTCGCTCATCTCAAGCTAGCAACAATCATGCTCAGAAGGCCACGCGCCGCGCAAAGTCTGGTAAGAGGATTACCAGAGGATTACCAGAGGATTACCAGAACTCTCTAATAAACATATAGGCACCAAGGCTCTCCGCGATATCAGAAGACAGCAACTCGATACTAGCCTAATTATCCCAAAGCTCCCATTCCAGCGTCTTGTTAGGGAAATTGCAGAAGACTTCAAGTCCAATCTTCGCTTCCAGCAATCTGCTATCCTAGCTCTTCAGGAAGCTGCTGAATGCTTCCTCATTTGAGAATTTGAGAGTATGATGTTTAAACATAGTGACAGGGACATACTAACAGTTATAGTGACAAACCTTCTTGCTATTCATGCGAAGAGAGTGACAATTCAGGCAAAGGATATGATATTGGTTCGGCGTTTGCGGGATATGATGTTTAATCATGGAGCTGTGGGCTTAATCGATGGAAATGTGTCTCACCCAGGAATGAAGGTCAGATAAGTTCTGGCAACCTTCTGGTAACCTGGTACCTAAAGGCCAAAGGTTATAGTGTGGAATAGGACATCAACAATATGGGAATGGAGTTATGGAGTTATGGAGTTATGGAGTTATGGAGTTATGGCGTCTTGATCAATGAAGTCGCGCCCCGTTTTTAACATAAGTAATGGCTAATCAAACACGTGATATAACTGAGTTGCCAAGACCCATACTAGGTACTCAGCAAGTAAGTAATCCTCATTCAACAATACTCGGGACATGAGCGAGTAACTCAGCTGGGTGAGTAAAAATTCTACTACTCGACTCGTGAGTACCCAGTGCGCAGCCTATGTGTCGCACATCTTGTTGTCGCATGCACAACTTGCTGTCGCCACCTACGAGCGAAGCGAGTGGGTGGAACTCAATTTTTCAAGTCTTAATTAACTACGACTTAATTGTAAGCGCAAGTGAAGATGGAGGATTACTACTTGACAACAATATAGAGTCTAATTTGTTTTAAATAGTTTCAATTTATTATTTACCTATCTGTTGTGGTGGACGTGTACATTCTAGACACGTACGTTGTTAGCATTAATCGGGGGGGGGAAGCAGTTTGCGCCACCTCGAAGCGAGAGGAAGCGGTTTGCGCCACCTCAACTTGCATACGTTCACCGCTAGTCCTTACCAAAACCTTCGGCATTCCCCCCCATAGTAATTTATATAGTAATTAAATGTAATTCATTTAATGGAAGGGACTTCTCTATCAGATGCCTGTGAATGGCTTGCAGCAAATCCCTCTGAATCTGTAGCTGTTGCAAGTCGGATTTTTAAGATCCCAAGGTCGACTATACGGTCAAAAATCAGCCGCACAAGAACCATTAGAACCACCAGAACTACCCAAAATGGGGGTCAGAATAGGGTGCTTTCTACAGCTCAAACAGAAGCCCTAAAGGCCTGGATTCTAGAGCAGTATCATCTAGGATTAGGGGCTAATAGGCATATGGTTTACGGGGCAGTATGCCACCTACGGAGCCCACTGCCTCCACCGTCACAGAGCTGGCTCACTAAATATATACGGAATGAGCTTATAGAGTTTCACTTTGTTACTACAAAGCCTATTGCACAACAGCGTACGAAAGCTCAACAGGAGCCTACTGTTATTAAGTGGTTTCAAGAGTACACAGCATTAGTACTACAGCATGGTATAAAACCAGAGTCAATCTGGAATATGGACGAAACTGGTTTTAGGATCGGAATTCCAGGAGGTGAGAGAGTTATGGTCCCCCGAGCTGTAAAGCAGCTCTACACTCCAAGCCCTGAGAATCGTATATCTATTATGATTATAGAGGCAGTATCTGCAGTTGGACAGAAGATTGCAGCTGTACCGGGTAAAATTCATATGGAGGCGTGGTACCCTCAAAACCTTGATGGGAATGAGCTGATACTACTCTCGGAGACTGGCTATTCTAATAGCCAGCTTGCTATACGGTGGCTACAGCACTTCGTAGAGCTTACTGTCATACTGACATTCGTTGCACTCAGTTTGCTATCAAACTCAAGAGCAAACTTAGAAATCTCCTCCTCAAACCTACAAGTCACCATACATATCTTGGCTTATCACACCAACAACAGAAGCAATACTACTCAACGATTGCTGCAAACTCTTCTACTACATCTGTTTATGCTACATACATCACGGCATATCATTTGGACACTCATTGAACAAGTTATTAAGAAAATCTCCTCCTTAAGGGGGTGGGCCAATACTACCACATGGCATATCTCTACCAACTAGAGGCCTAGGAACATGAACGATAGCTCTAGAAGCTTCTACAACCCTCTATGATTCATTACACGTCATCACTCCTTAGTTACCCACAAGATTGGTTAAGTTATGACATAATTTGTCTATAGGTACTCTGACCTTGGACCTCCTTTTCACTTCCTATAGGCTAGGAACCCAAGAGATGGTTCTATGGGATTCTCTTACGTTCACTACATGATTAGCAAGCTAGTTGTGGGTCGCACTTGATTTCTAATACATTTACCAAGCCTGGTTAGTCATGGAAAGTCATGGAAAATGAGAGAACTACACTCCTTTGGCATAAATAGGATTGCCCTTTCCTTAAGAAAGGGCAAGCAGACAATACAGTAAATCGACTATCACATACTTCCACGTCTTTTACAAGCTTCCAAGCATTCATCTTGTTACTCCTTGTTTCTGAAAAGTCAGTGAGGTGTTAACCTCTGACTTACCCCTGAGTTCCCAGACTCAACATTTGTTGCAACTTGTCTGAACCACTTCACTACATCACACACCTGATTGCTGCGTTGTGGAATAGTCTAAGCTACAACCCTTTGGCTCTGTTTCCTAAGACAGTGTGTTGTCTTAGTAAAATCATCCCTTCCTTGGGTGGCTAGATTCTCACATCTGGTGCACCCACCATTACACTTACAGCTCCACATGACCCGAGAAATCCTAATGTTCTACTACTCGATTCTCATGTGAGCCATACGAGCCCTGATTTTATCATTATGGCTACTAAATATCACATCATCGTATGGGCGTTTCCCAGCCACCTTACACACATTTTACAGCCATTAGACGTGGGAATATTCCAGCCTTATAAGCACTGGCATAGGCAATCCGTGCTCCGTGCCATACGAGAGGTGGATATTACCTACAACCTACCCCTATTTATGAGGGATCTCCCACATATGCGGGAGCAGACTTTTAAGGAGGCCACCATACAATCAGTGTTCCGGAAAGCTGGAATCTGGCCCATAAGCTGTAATACAGCCCTTGAGAAGCTGCGTACGTACTCGCAGCCTACGCCTACGCCTATAGAGCCTACAACACCTACCCTACCACGCCCTATTACCCCTATACCCACTACGTTCCAGGGCGTAGAACAGGGCCTACAACGCTGGAAAGACCGGCTTCCGGAGGCCTTAAGTAGCCCCTCGCGGCAGAGCTACAGTAACTGGGTTACTGGGGCCTCCCAGGTTCTAGCTGCCGGCCAGCTCCAGGAGCGGGCTATTCGCCAGCAGGTTAAGAGCTCGAAGACGAAGCGGGCTCGGGGCCAACTCCAGTGTGGAGGTGAGCTCCGGGCTTCTGAAGCCCACGAGCTTCAGAAGCAGAAAGCCGAGCTTCAGGCCCAGAAGCTCGCTGCGGCCGAAGCCCGGAAGCTAAGCCAGGCCGCAAACCGAGCCCAGAAGCTCGCTACGGCCGAAGCCCGGAAGCTGAGCCAGGCTGCAAAGCGAGCCCAGAAGCAGCTCCGCCGGGCAGGAATTGAAGCCCGGAAACAGGAGCGCCTCCGGAAGAAAAGCGTGGCTCAGCTCACCCAATCGGGCTTCCCAATTCCTCCGGAGTTGCAGGACCCAATTACTGACCCAGAAGCTGATTCTGGGAGCGAATATGAGAGTGCGAGTAAGGGTGGGCGTGGGAGTGGGCGTTGGAGTGGGAGTGAGAGTGGGAATGAAGAAGTGATAATTTCGTAGAATTGAATTTTTAAGTACCTTTACATACAAATTACTATGGCTAGGTACTTGCGGTCGCAATTTTGAGTTGGCGCAAACCGCTTCCTCTCGCTTCGAGGTGGCGCAAACCGCTTCCCCCCCCGATTAGCCGGTTGGAAACCAACGATTATGTGGCATACTTAAATGCAAAATTAATAGAAAAAATTTGCCCACATTCAGAGTTGAACTGAAGACCTCGGCATCACAATGTATCATGTGATCTTGAATCGTACTAGTGCCGCGCTCTACCAACTGAGCTATGGGGGCTGATAGTTTTTATGGGCACCCATAACATTACTCTTATGCATCGGATGAAAGGGACCCCTACCCTTTCCCTTCTTCCAACGGCATTTGTCATATCACGTCACGTATCTCTCTGTGTTTGGTAATGGGTCGACAGTAAATGGTTCGCTGAAGACGCAAGATAGCATCGCTAGCATCTGTATGTCAACCAGCTTCTCGAAATGATCAAAGAGGTAATCAATCAGGCTTTTGGCGAGAGGGCTGTATCCCCACTTGACTCTTCCCAATATGGCAATTTCGTGTCAAAGGGCATATCGATGCCGCTGTCATATTGACTGTCACGCCTACAGTGTTTGATCATATCCCGCGCAATAACAAGGATAGGCTCCTTCCGATGCGACTGATTAAGGATCTCGAGAGGGACCTCATGCTGCAGCAACGTCCCGGCATATGTCCATAAGTCTGCACGCTCCTAGTGCCCGTACTTCATCGCAATCATCGCGTTGCGGTTGCAAACATCTGTTCCTTCGCCAAACACGGCATATTCCTGAGCCAGCTCAAGCTTCCCCGGCAAATAATGGGACACATTATACATCGCAATCGTGTTTTTAGGCTCCGAAAGCCGCCCCTTACTCAGAGTTCCGGTACTAGTACCAGTACCAGTTCCAGCCCCACTCGACTTATTGGACCGATTTGTAGACAGTCCCTTCCGATAACTCCTGCCATGGATCTTTCGCTAAAAATCGAATGCGACGCTGACTTGGAACTGTGAAGAGTCGGAATCGCTCGAGGATTCGCTTCCAGAGCCTTGCGACGAATCCGATGCTTCTTGGTGGAAGCGACTCTGTAGCAAGGTGGGAAAATGTATTGAAGGAAGGCCCGTCTTTGACCCTCGATTTGTCTACCGAGACGGAGCCAAGGAGGGACTTGAACCTCTCTTCTTTCGGTGGAAAAGAAGCAGATGAGCTTACCATTGTTAGAGAATCGAGCGCCTGAACCTCAGAGGGGATTCTTGTTGCGAGTCGGCGTCGCGCTAACGTACGGGTGTAGTACGTTAGCGTGACGCCGATTCGCAACAAGAAGAATCCCCTGTGTAGAGGTTAGATCCAATTCCTAAGATATCATCGCTGAATTGGTCGCTGGTATGTCATCATCATCTTCGTCGCTGGAGCTCATGTCTGCAATACCGTCAAGGTTATCAACATCGTCAGATCCCTTAAGCCATTGCGTGCTCTCTTCGAGATTGGCTTCCCCAAGCAAGTAGCAGAGCGCAGCCCTAGGCAGCCACGGTGACGCCTAACAAATCCGGTAGCAATCTGTTGAACCTCCTGCAAAATCCGCTCGTTGGTCTCGTCTGATATTAGAGAGGACTTGCCAATATTGAACGTGGATATTTTCGGCCCGGGATACTGGTCTGGAAACCGTATCGTAGCCTTACCGTATCGTAGCCTTAAAATTAAACACCGACTTGGGGTTAGGGTTAATTTGAATTCTCTATATAGGAGCTCCTAAAGCAAGAATTCTACTACTAAACTATTAGGCCTTTGCTATAAATGCACAGCCACGACTAATTCGACTTAATAATGTGTCTTTGAATGTCTTAGATGGCATCTTCCATCTTTATACTCTATTTAACGATGTGACGGCTAGGAGGCTGCTGAAAAGGGCAGCTTTCGTCGCTGTTTTACGCACCCCGCCTGCCCACTTTTCAATACTCCCACACCCCAAAATTAATCGCCGCACACCTATCATGCCTCAGGTTCATATCACAATCCCTGAAACAAGCTCGTCTAGATCGTTCACCTCGTTCACCCCATCCAACCTCTGGCCAATCCGTCCCACCTGGCCCTCACTATCCAGGTGCCCACGTAAGCCAAAATTGGCGGTCTCCTCGTTGAACCGCTAACTCAAAGGTATTTAAGGTTGAAGGTGTCCCTCGTTCGCTCTCTTTCGTCTGTTCTTCGCCATCTCTTCTCTTTCACGTCGGTTGCAACTCGTTTGTTCACCCCTCTTACAAGCTTTCGCTCGTAGGCTCTCTTTTCAGTCATCATTACTCCTTGTCTGCATTTCTGTTCAGTCATTTTGCACCTCCCTCGACTGCTCTCTCGATTCTCTTCTTACTAAACCAATCAACCCTCCACACGTCTCCGTCTCGACATGCCAATGACTTCCTACTCCGACGACGAATCCGACAGCTCGAGCGTTTTCGACCTCGATCCCTTTTAGACGGTATCGACGATGACACCGATGACGAGTTGTGGCTATTTGACGATGAAGTAAAACACCCTCCGGAACACTATCTCGCTGAAGCAGAAGAACTCGATGTGCAGCGGCTTCGGCAACGACGATACAGCCCCAATACCCAAGTCCAGCTTGATCGAGTGAAGTTGCAGTGGGATCAGTAAGTCAACATTCAAATGACTATTGTTGCTTATGCTAACTTTCCACTCCTTTGAAGGTACTGCTCCTACATTAAGAAAGACCCAGTGCAATGCTTTCACGATGTCACGATAAGATTCCTCAAAGGCTTCTTGAGCTGGGTTTGCGACCAACGACGATGGAAAGGTGGGCGCAGGCGGCCAGGCATCAAACATACGACATCGTTGGAGACTGCTTGGCATGCTGTTCAAGGTTAAGGCCTTCAAGTCTCCTAGCATCTATTCACCCGAGAAGTTGTACAGTCTGAACGTTCTGCAGGGGATGAATGAGCAGGAGCTACCATTGAAGGATGAGATGCTCGACAATTTTGTCTTTTGTCAAGCGGTTCGTGAGGCGGAAGGCGTTCACATCGCTCACAATCTACAGCTGTCGTCGGCATCGGTCCGGTACCGCATGAAGATAGGCGGCCAGATCATCGGGTTTAAACAAGTCACGAAGCTGTATGTGCTACGTGACGGAGCTGCTAAGGCACTAAATGAGAGTCGTAAGTGTTTTTCTGAGATCCTGCTGTCCTCAACTAATGTGGTCTCTTTGGCACAGCCGATGTTAGTGACTCCGTTCAAAACTTAATCTTGCAGCATGCGAGTATCGACACCTTCCTTAAACACTACCTTGATCGGAATATCAATGTGGACATCCAAAATATATATCGCGGACTCGAGCCGCAAAAGGCTTTGATGAGGTTCGCATGTTCAATGAGCCGATCGACCCCCGGCGCCCCAGGAAGCTGACTTCTGCACAATAAGCATTGGTCAATAACCTTACATGTATCGTGAAATTGTCTCAGATCGCAGCCCACCTGTCAGGGTCTCCAGAAGGCACATGATGAGCAGGCCCTCGAACACTTGCTTGAAAATCTTCCTGATGAAAAGGTCCTCAAAAGACCCTTTCACTGTCGTCTTGGTACTAAGTGCTGCACAGGTTTTGTCCTACATCTTTGTACACCTACACTGAAGACAAACTGCCATTCTTCCGTTCTTAAATCGTCAACCCTCTGCCCGCTCGCAGTTGGTGGCTCTGGGAAAGCTCGCCGTTGTCGACGCCCCGCCCAGTCCTGCCGCAACCCCCATTTCGATCGACCAGATTCCGCAAGCACCATCACCCAGCATTCCAGAGAGGCGTCTACAAGATTAACATGAGGGAAATGGAGGGATGGGTATCTGCCGGGAGATGGCCATACCATCCGACAGTCTCGCAACGGACGGGTATGAGCACGACACCCTGCCGACCGATGAACCGCATACCCATGTCTCCTCACAAGAGAGGGCATCGCCAGATGCCTCTGTCCCAGGGACTCCTAACTCCACGGACACCAACGAGGGCTTGGTTGCGAACCCCAGTCACGTTCAAGAGGGCGGGCTGGAGCATGATGGTCATCTACACGAGACTGTCATGGACGAGACGGCTGTCGCAGCAGAGACAGGCGTTGGCGTCATCCAGCCCCGACCAACACAGACCTCGACGTCGCCCAGGAGGTCCACGCTGAAGAGCCGTCCCAGACTTGTGAAGATGTTTCATCGTCTCCAAGCCCCAACGCGGATTCCCAAGGTACAAGAAGAGCTGCTAGCGAAGGCTAACCAGTCGATGGATGACTCCATGAATGTCACGACATAATTTTTGTCCTTGAGCGATTTGCACTACAGCGGGATTCTATTGCTACCAGAGAAGACCACGTTGATCACACGGACCAGGACGAGCTGCAGCTGCAGGACCCGAACCGCCAGCTAGGACTGAAGAAGTGGTGGGATGGCCTTGGCGCCCACAAGAACAGTGAAAAATGGGAGAAATGCCTTCAGGGAGTCTTTGCGGGACTTTTTTATGGCCAGTATGCTGATGAGAGGGACGCATTCGATAGGCGGAAGAAAAAGGGGAACCTGCCCACATCCAAGTGAAATGTACGTGGACATGTGCTCCCCCGAGACTATTATCCCGGATGGTGAACTTCCATCTAAACAGGCCTTTGCTGCCCGTGCCCAAGCCAAGAGGCATTTTCAAAACGAGTTACAAAAAAAGAAGCTATGGGGGAAGATGGAAAAGCGCTACGGTATAGCCGTGTTCCTGCTGCTCAACCCGACCTTGCAGGAAGACCAGTAAGTGCCTTTGTGCAGATGCGCGAGGACCTTAGAGATAACATTGTATCTATAGTGTTCGACGACTAAGAGAATCCAACCTTGACCTCCTTCTAGACCGCATCAATGAACGACACCCAAGCTTGAAACAAGACCTCCAAGGGCTTTCTGACCATCTCTCGTATTACATTGACAAAGGCAGACTTCCAACACGGAAATTACGGTTTGAAGAACTGTCCCGCAGTGAGCTAGAGTCCGAGTGTTTGAAAAGCTTGTCGCTAAGTGATATGTTCAAAACCCTTGAGCCGCCTGCAGCAAACGCTGCAGCAAACGCTCCCTGCGAAGGCCCGTCGATGAGTGAGGGATCGCACGTAGAAGGCTACTACGCCGTGACAGAAAAGGTATCTGTTTATGCACCCCCGCCTCCGGACCAATCACGGCCCGCATTTTCTTCATCGTCATCACTGCGAGACGTCGATGAGCCTCTCACTCCAAGACTGGATGTAGATTCTAGGGTAGATTCTCTCCCTGGTATCTTTGACACAGCAGCAGATACTCCCGGCTCTTCTCCAGCAGGATACAATACTTTTGAAGGCGAGTTTGAGCACTACCATAATCAAGTAATGGCTTCTAGGGACCCCAACTATGACTTTTCCGTCCCAGACAATTCTACTGTCTGCTAATGTCATTTCGATTCGATCGGCTTTATCCCGTAATATAATCCCAGTCGTAGATCAACGCAGGAGATCCGATGCAACACGTCTATCGCAAGTCTTGCGGAAGCTACTGGCCAGCTAGTCATATGCCAAACTCTTACATTTGCTGCAACACCGTCACCAGAAATGTCTTCTATCTCATTACATTACTTTTATTACAAATGCCCTTACTTTTCACCAAATCAAGGAATACCAAAGCCGCTTATAGAGGTCCTGTAGAACAGGTCATACGGTTGAGGAGGGGTCTAGGGCTTGGATGGTACCTTCTAAGGCCATTGCTGCCTAGAAGTAATGTGGCATAGAGAGCTGTATACTCTAGCCATAAACGTCAACACGTTATCAATTAGCAAGCCATCTACACACCAGATGGCATCAAGGTTATACTGGGAGTCTGCAAAGACAAATGTACAAGGAATGGATTTTACAGGCATACGTTATAGCAATGATCTGCAGAGACACGGTTATAGAAAGGGTTGGGAACAGTTATTTTGATATATGATCAATTGTCACTTATCTACCAAGTGCCAAGCCTATGTGATTCCATCGCTACACAATCCGCCGACTTTATTCACATATCAAACAACTCAAATGCAGCTGTAAAACAAAACTAACACTGACAAAACTGCATACTAGAAAGCAGAGCAAATTCAGACGAGTGTATTAATTTATGCTTCCATAGCATCACGCGCCTGTTCATGGTACTGGAAGCCTCGGTGAGAACTGACTGCTGCCAGAGCTACCATACACTTGAGGTCTTCTCTTTTTCAACTGAGCTGTAAAAGCGGATGCTGGTAGAGTTAGGCGTAGCACGACTTTGTAGAGGGACTTGCTTACATCTGATAGCTCGTCAAAAGACCTGGCTACCTGGATCTTGGCCAGGAAGTCAACAGCTTTGCAGTCAGCTGGCCATCGCTCCAAGTCATGGGCACCGCCAGCTCCATTCTCGTAGGCGCTCTTCTACATCAGCTTCATGGTAATACTCATTAGAGACACCATATCTAGCAAACTTCCCCAACCCGAAAGTGTCATTTCCCTGCAGCATTCCTGACCGGCTGATGGCTGTGTTAGATTGGGGACTTGGGGCAGGCAGCTAGCTCACCAATCTTTATATCTCCTTCTGTGCCTATGAGAATGCTAGAGCAGCTAAGAGAGCCATGCTCGAGCTGGCACAAGGCGAGATACTTGAGCCCTTTGACAACCTGTACTAGTCAGCAAGTCGACCCATCATAGTTGTAGGATGCACCTAGGCCAGTGCCGCCGCCAGTTCAAGCTCAGTAGGGTAGGGAGGCGAGTACACGATATTGTCAAGCATGACAGGAAGGTGCTGAAAGGCGGCATAGTGAGAGCCTTCAAAGTTAAAGCACTCAACCATGTTGTCGAAGTTCTGGTGCCGCACTCTCTGTAACATGCGCACGCTCTGGGCGGCGTTAGGTCCCTCAAGGCACTTCACCATGAGAAGATCGTTCGGGGAAGATAGATCAGCTACGATGGGAACATATCCGCCGAGGTTCACTTCGAACTTCTCACAGAAGCGGGCCCATGGCGATTCGAACTGGACTGTGCGATCGAGCATGCTGGCACATCTCTGGGCAGCTTTCACGACCTGTAGCTCCCTGAGACCAGACTTAGTGGCTGTCTCACAGCTATCCAGAGAAGCTTTTATATTGCGGCGTTGCTCAGGCTCGCGGTTCTGCGAGGCTATAATCTTTCTCTTCTTCAAGATCAGTGAAGCAAAGCCAGGAGGGACGCTCTCTTCTGGCGTGTCGACTTGTTCGTTGGTGTTGAGGTCTGGCCCATTGCCAAACATGATCCTCGTCATACGATTGTCCTTGATGGAAACATTGTGCTCAACATCGTCGGCAGCAGTTGAAGCAGACTGTTCTCGGTCCATGGCAGAGAGAGACTCCATTATTCATAGTCCGATTTAACTAAAGGCAGCTGTGACTGGTGTGCAGCAGGTAGGCAATCGGGGTATTTATGTCAAAAAGAACAAAGGACCTGGAACGTGTTACAGTCGGAAAGAAGTGACCACTAGCAGCAAATGGAGGGTGTACCTATTTAGGAGCCCAGAATAGTACTTATACCATCGGGCAATGGTATAAGTACCACACGACCCAGGGCACATTTATTCCTACAATCCTCCTCCCTCCAGCCTCCATTCTAGTCCACTGCCTTCAGCCATCAATATGCAGCAGTCTCGAGCCCAAAACGAGGACTCCATGCTCGAGGAACAGCGGCGACTGAAGTACAAGGGTACTGCTCGCATCTGTCTCGACGTGCTCTTTTTCCGCCAAGATCAGCCACGTGAATACAGCAAGAGACAAGCGGACTTCCTGGTGGATTGTTTTCAGAAGGAAGGATGTCATCGAGTGCCTTTCTGCAATTACGTCCCTGCGATCATCAACCAGGAAAACCTTGATGCCGCATTGGAGCGGTTGGGGAGGACGGCAGACGACTTGCTGACTAATGATGAGGTGCCTGACTATCCCCTGCTAGAATTCCCGACCGGCTTCCATCTTGAGTGTCTCCACGGCCGGCACAGGATCGAAGCTGGGCGTGAATTTCTCCATCCTGGGGAGGATTGGTGGACAGTTTATCTGTACCTCGCAGGTAAGATCGAGGCCTTTTCACATATGGGTCGTGCTAACGTGTGACTACCTAGACCTGAACGTCGACCTAAAGACATGCCTCGTTGAAGAATACGCCAACGAGGAGAAGCCCTCCGATGGCGAGATTTACTACAAGATGCGACGCTACCATTTCCAGCGGAATTTCAGCTTTGAAATGCGGTGGAAGGCGCTCCTGTGAGGCAAGCGGAAGGAGTACCTGCTGACGCTCACCCGTAATGAAGCACTGACGGCAGCATTCGATGACTTGCTGGACATCCCAGGTCTCTGGGGCGGGATAAAGATGACTATGCTGCACAAAGTCATGGCTCTGAAGTGTGATACGGTAGGCAGAGGGCTGGCATGGATGATTGATTTTGGCTGATTTCTCGCGATACAGGAACTTTTACACTACCTCCGCCGCATCAAGCAGGTCTGGTCCGATCTTGTATGTGGCAATAAGGCTGCTATGGGGAAGATTGATCAAGCGACAGTGAAGGCTTTAGAGCTGAAGGCACCACGAGTGTCGACAGCGGACGCGGAGTTCCTCCGCATTCGAGTGCGCGGGGGGGAGGTTTTCAGCGCTTTTGACGACAGCGAGCGCGACAATATCTGGAGCCGCCTAAAGTGTGTTGAGGGCCTAATTCCATCTCTCGCGACCTTCTTCAAAGACATCGGGTACTTGGAGCACCTCACCAACTGCGCCAAGCAGCTAATGGGCGACAATGTCCAGATCTCTCATGCCTTCAAGCAACTATTCTCCCCTGTTAATCAAGAGGACGGCCGCGTTCAGATCATGGATGGCCAGGCTAAGATTCAGGTCGCCGAGAATGCGTTTGTGTACGAGCAGGGGACACGCGGAGACCAAGTCGATCTCAGGTACCAGCAGATCATTGCGTATGCCATGCGGCACTTCGCGGATATGCCAAAGGAACCAGTGAAGGAGGGCCGCATGATGCAGCCTGCAGCGATGGCCGTCCTCCGCCGCTTTGCTGACTTGGCAGACCAGCTGGGGTTTACCAGTACCAGGATAAAGCATTTACAGCAGTATCCAGCTGCACGTGCCGAGCAAACCCCACCATCGGACATCCTCCCCTCGTTACGTCAGGATCCAGAGTAGGGATAGCACATAGATGCGGCACCCCACTCAGGCCGAAATTCAACGAGGACCGGAAATTTTGGTTTATCAATCACCTCCATGATGAGAGTGACCAGCAAGGCAAAGGCATCACGAACTTCTTCGTCCGAAAACAAGTTTATCTCGCCTTCTTTGGCTGGCCAACCTGGCGGCCTACTGGCCAGGGTGGTAGCCATGGCAGCTCTCCATCTCTCTCTCCTGTTTTAGACTCCGAAGATTTACCTCGAGGTCCAAGCGCTGATGCTCAGCAGCACACGGTTGGGTCCCGAACGGACCGGCCATCTAGTGCGCTAGAACCTGCGGAAGATGACGGGGGCCTTTTTGTCCCAGAAGCTGGTCCAAGCCAAACCCATGCGGAAGGAATGGGTGGTGGTGGACAGCCAGCCTATGAACAGCTCAACGCCAGCCGAGAATGAAAGGTGGAAGCGGAAGCTTCTGGAACATAAAAAGCAAAGGGAAGCGTGGCTGGAGAGGGAGAGGCTGGAGAAGAAGAGGCTGGAGAAGGAGAGGCTGGAGAGGGAGAGGCTGGATATGGAGAGGTTGGTGAGAGAGCGACTGGAGAGAGAGATAGACATAAACCTTGTCAGATGGGAGGACGATACTTGGAAATACCTAACACCACTTGCAGTCGATGCAGAGGATCCGTCTAACATCGAACGGTTGGTTAACGATTACATGACAAGAGGAATCAGGGCTTTCAACACATATCTGCGAATGATGAGCCCCGCGGAATGCTTTCAGGTAGTCATCAATAATAGGACACACACAATCCTCCTAATCGCAGAACACGAGCTTGCTATTGATGATAGGATGCATGAATCTGCAAAGAATCTCCATGCGGAGGCAACGAAGAGAGTCATTGGTTTGAAACGCAAGGCCACCGAAGATCTGTCTCACACTTACCACGCATGGAAGATGGTTGTCTGCACCGATTGGAATGAGCTACCGTAAAATGTCAGAAGTTCCATTTCCTTTGAGAGTCACGTGGGTGCATAGTAAAAATGGCAACGGTATCATGACATTGCAGAGTAATTTGCAACCAGGATTGCTGGGGCATCTAGAGAGTAATATAGCTAGAGAGTGACATTAAGTATAAGAGAGCCATAATTTCCTACGTGACTGCTACAAGTAAGGAAACTTTCTCGAAAATGCAGGTGAGGGTTCATTTGGCACTAAATTAACTTATTTCAAGCGGATCCGAGGGGCTTTTCTTTCCGGCTTGTAATTAGTAGGAGAGCACAGGTACAAGGGGAGATTTAGTGATAGCAAGGCAGTTGGCACTACCGCCTAAGAGCGGAGCTTGGGGTGGGCACGGCGTGACGACAGGCGGCAAAGAGGCAGTTAAGAGGGGATCGAGAAATTCTTGTGCTTATGGCTAAGCGCACCTTCTACCTTACTGACAAACGCGTGAATATGGGCTATGAGTGCTTTGTTGATACCTATGGATTTGAAGTGAACATGGGCAGGGGTCACAGTTCATGAGACACCATATTTAAAGGATGCGATCAATGCACAGGCTCTACGGGTAGCGGATTCTGTGAAAGCACTTTCAACAACATGAGGGGAATATGTAGTTTCTCTGGTATGACTGCTTTGATAATCTAATGAGGACTGGGACAGCAGTAGTTCTTGTCGGGCCAGTGAAGACATGGCAAGGGAGAAAGTAGCAATGAAGAGAGAGATGGGGGTGCGGTAAAAGGGCCTTCATAAGAGGACGTAATTGTCTTAGGGATAGAGGACTATAGAAGGTGATACTGTAGAACAATATGACTCACACTGCAACTTACCCTACGTTCGCGCATTGTGACCTTTTTGCTTGAAGGGGTTGAGACTTACCCTTGTTTTTATTTCTCAGGACTGAATTCTCCCCACCTGGTCTGGATCTTCTGGATTGCGTTTCCGTCAATGTGTCGCGTCAGCATCATGTGGCAACATATTTATAGGGAATGGAAACGAATTCATCTTGCCACTATTTAGTAAATACCATTAAAGTTAGGAGTGAACCTACAGTTTCTTTCTTACATGGTATGGTGGAAAGCATGGGTTGCCAGGAGATATGTAAGTATAATAGTGCCCTTTCTGATAGATAATCAAAGCAACATCCGCGCCATACAATTCCCCATACTCATATACCTTGTTGGTCAAAGTGCTTCTCCTTCTAGATGTATTCTGGCTTTGGCGTTTCCATACGTTGCGCACGTTGGGACAGAGTACATTGGACATGGCGCTGAGAGGCTTATGTCTCAAGTAATTTGAAGGGTTGTAGCTAGATCAGGGTAGCTGTAGGGGTGTCGCTGGCATTTTATAGAGATCTATTTAGCCCAGAACGGTAATTCTGCTGTCCCAAGCTTGGTTTCCACCTCCGGTGGGCCATGCTGAGGGTCCGCGCATCCTGACCCGCCCAATATAATATAGTGCCAGGTACACCTCGATGGACCCTCCCTCGCACCATCCGATGTTCCTAAACAACCCCCACCACTTAATGACCCCTCACCACCCGATGGTCCTAATCATCTTTTACCTGATAGTATCGATGAACCCTCACCAGCATACACTGAGTATCCTTGAAATCAACTCTGTCTTTGATTGCAGCTGCATTCTCCGTTGTATAATCTGATCAACTCCGGTATTACCTGTCCGTGTAAGGACACAGGGCACCCAGCTCACAGTAATAGCATATGAGAGTGCGAGTCGGAGGCTAAACGGATGCTATCCTATAGGTCTACTACGAAGGATACAAAAAAGATGATGGGGAACCCCGTCAGTCGATTTTCTCAAGTATCCGAAACCCATCCGACTCAGTTCCAACTCGGTTAGGCCACCCAAATGATCACACGTGACCCCGCGGCTACCCGGAGTCTACTCCCTAGAATGAGAGACGAGAAGGCATCCTTACAGTCCGAGTCTGTCTTAACCGCTCCATTCTTCACGGCTTGGACCAGCGACATCCTTTTCATCGACGGCATCTTCTTTGAATTTCCCTTCCTCATAATCACAAATTAGAAGCTTAGCAAAGTCCTCAATCGTCGTGATCTTATTCTCGATTTTGTTGCGGTCATACCATCCCTGATGCAAATGTATTTTTGCAGCAGTTTTGCACATGCTTTGTAGCTTTTGCAACTCTGTAATCATATCATTTGGCATGCCCTTTTTAAACCCAACTCCGCGTATTGACTGGTCCAGCTTATTGAAAGAGGTATAAGGCTCCTTATCAAAGGGTTCTGATACGTGTCAATTATTCACAGCGGAGATATGATGCTTCCAGATAGGGACTTCTTTTGTCACTTTATGGAGCACCTTTCCAATTAGTATCTGGCAAAGTATTTGCAGGTTTCATTGTCTTACCTCTAACGCGAGCTTCTCCTCAAGTTTCGTGTTTTCGACATCTTTCATCACCTCTTTTAATTTCTCCTTCAGTTCTTCTACTATCCAATAATTATCTCCAATGTCCAGGCTGTCAACACTGATCGTACCACTTAATCCGTCATCAATAGTGTCATTTTGAACTTTGGAAGTGGTAGTTTCGCCTATACAGACAATAGAGGTCGTATTTTTATCTTCTATTCTCGTGTCGAAGTCTTTCACTAAGGTAGCTGAGGACAATCTGGCAGCAACGTCTGGGTTGTTTTCAAGCTCTGACCCAACCGCATCGCAAAGAGTCTATTTGGTGTTAGAAAGTAGAACATAACTATCTTGAAGTCAATATACTTGTGGCGTCAGGTTCTCTGTCTTGTTTTTTTTGCTCCGTGTACCTCCGTTCATATCATCATCACTCTTTCGTTTCTGAAGTTTCATTGGGGCCATTTCAAAAGATATGGGCGAGAGGTTTGACGTATCAGAGCCGCCCAGCAGTGACCTTTGAACGGTGGTAGTGGTGGGCAGGGCAGAATCTCGCAACAAAATTGAAGGAACAGAGCCCTTCCCGGGAGGGTTTTGTGAAAAACTCATTCCGAATATTATCACGTGTGTTGAAAAACTACCTCAGCATTAGAGACAGGTGAATTAGACAGGAAGAGGGGCAGGTCGGCTGCTTTATATGTAATAAGTCAGATGAGCATGCCATCGTTCATATGTTCAGATGCTGACAAAACCGATTCATCATGCAGCAGCGGGATGCAGGCGGTAAATGTAGTGGAGGGAAGGGTATTGCGAGTAATGACCAGGTTTTGGCGTGGGCGGGCAGTCCTTTGCCTCCAGAGTGTGATTTCAAGGCAGTGATTGCGCCTAGGTCGAGCTAGGATGGATGGAATATTTTGCCACTGCTGATATATGTGGCGGCGTCCATTTCCGAGACAGAGGGAATTCCTCACCGATGCTATGGGGGGCCCCACCAGCTCCGTTATTGACATATATGGCGGGTAGAGGCAACATAAGTGAATAGATGTACAATGGGAGTGGAGATCATTTGGATTTGCTGGTAAAGCGGCCTATAAACAAACGGCCAAAACTACGATATATAAAAAATCTAATCCGTTCGCCCCTTCCCATCCAGAAAAACCATCGTGCATCCCTCCCATCACTCCTGTCCATCATCAAAAAGAAGTGAAGAAACTACCGACTCCCCGTTTATTCGTGTTGCTGCAGGTATATCGAATCGAAACTCGGGAGATGGAGCTGCCCCGTAACAAGCGTACATCCCCCCAACTCAACTCGATTATACTCCACTATCTTCCACCATTCAATCAACAGTAATTATCTGCATATGAACCGTAAAGACCCAGACCTTGTGAAAAACATTCATTCTGACAAAGACTGTTGATACACTTCAAAAAATTTCAGCGGTTCTTCTGCGGTTGCCGACAGTCACCTTGGCGTCCTCGAATCGTGCAGGGTCCCAACCTCGTTTCATCCTGAATTTTAAACCCACAATATATAATTGCCATCATTCTGAATGCTATATCAACGTCGAGACAAGTTACCGCATGTTCCAAGATGCCTATGCACGCCTCGATACTAAGATATTAGATATATTTAAAGATAAATATAGATGGGTATATGCGTGCTGTTGAGCGCCCTCGTTAATGAACCAGACCCGCAACAAAGGACGGGCAAAATCAGACTCCTGTATGCACGCATTGCAGAACAACCATGTTTGATTAATGAGATAATTTGTGACGTCCTCATCAGTGTCCAGTTGAATTGTAAGACCTGGCAAGGCCCTCATGACCTCAAATGTATAGTTCTGAGCACGGCCTAAAGGCTCGATTATCTCTTCAACTTTTTGCTTTAAGATAGGTTAGTATATGAAATCTAATCGGGGTTGATTGATTTACCTTGAGCTTGTCAAAGCTTGAATTGAATCCAGCAACGTCCAGATATTTATCCTTCACGCTATACATTTCTGCCATTCCTTGTTCTACTTGGCAGTTTCGATTCTGGCCAACAGCAAACCGGTGCAGGCCCCATTTTGCAGTATTGTGATTGAACGCTTGCCTTGCAGTTAAAAGAATAACGCATTCAGAAAAAGATAGGCTCTGCGTCGCCTGCTGGAATATAGGGTTTAATTTTTCCATTAATGGTTGAGCAATTTCTCTCGAACACCCCAGCAGGATATCGGGCTTGAAAAATGGAATAAATATATCAACAATGGCTAGAAAAGCTTGCTCTTGATACGACATCGGCTTGATTTCCTAGTAGATCACGGATTAGAACATGGGCTTCCGCAGTGTTGCCAGTAGTATATTGGTTCTTGGCAGTATATTGTGATATATATCGCAATATGATATGGCCTTCCTTCATTCCTTGGCAATATGATATGCCCCATATTATATTGCCAATATAAACAATATAAACAATATCGCTTATTATAATACACGTGATGATAATGATGTTAAATATAGCTATGAACCTAGTAGATAAGTGCCGTTGAAAACTCTGCACGCGTAGTACTATTACTATTATATAGTAGTACTATGGCTTCAACAAATGCAGATTCTAGTCCAAGACAATGCCGATGTGTTCCAGTTACAGTCCTCACAACTAGATCTTGATAGTACTATAGTACCTTCAATTTCATCAACAACCCAACGAGTACGAACCTCATGGGTTTGGCAACACAATAAGAGCCCTTCATTAATAGAGGATGCTAACAAGTGCATTTGGCAATGCTTATATTGTACTAAACAATACAAAGGGTCGGGTGGTACAGCTGCTCCAGCAAAGCACTTGACAGATTTACACCAAGTGACAGATACTTCAAAGGAGTTACGACTTAAGAACATGCAGATGAGTATTTCAAGCGCCTTCTCAAGTGGAATAAGTAACCCATATAAACGGCGACGAGATACTGACTTTGGTGCTCCAACGTTTGAGCAGCTACTTGTCCGACTTATTGCTAGATGCTCATTATCATTCACAATTGTCCAACGCCCTGAATTCCAAGACTTAATACATTTTTTAAATGTTAATAGTGAAGATTCTTTACCTCGAAGCCATAGTACTATACGAGAATGGGTAGTTCAAAGATACAAGCAAGAGAGGGTCAAGATTCAGCAAGCTTTGCAGTCATCTCAGTCGAAGATCCATCTTACCGTTGACTTATGGACATCTCCAAACACAAAGGCATTAATGGGTCTAATTGCACACTACATTGGGGAGAATGAAGGGCTTCGACAGTCGGTACTATCGCTACGAGAGCTAGAAGGACAGCATACAGGTGACAATCAAGCCCAATTAATATATACTGTACTTGAAGAGTATGGTATATTATCAAAAGTCTTATCATCATAGTAGCATCAAATAATGATACTATGATGATAAGCCTTTCAAATCGTTAGCCCTATTACCAAAAATGATAGTACTATAAAATTCTAACTTCTACTATATAGTACTATCAATCCAAGGTGTTAAATATGATGCTCAACACTACCGACTTCGTTGCAATGGCCATATCATCAACCTAGCAGCACAAGCATTCTTATTTCCATACGGGGATGCTCTTTCTGTGGATAACAACTCTCAAGAAGCATCACAAGTACAGGTTGAAACATGGAGGAATGCAGGCCCGCTAGGGAAGCTACATAATATTGTAGTGTATATTCAACATTCTCCCCAACACCAGGCAACATTTGAGAAGTATAGTGATGGTAAAAGGCTTGCTCAGGATAACAAGACTCGATGGAACTCATGGTACTTGATGCTTCATAATGCTCTTGATGACAATATGAAGAAAGCTATCAATGGATACTGTCACAAGGAGTACTACAACCTAAGCCAAGACGAAGACAGAGAGTGATTGGATAATACTATCACACATCCATGACTGCCTCCAGTTCTTTCATGAAGCGACGTTAGCTACAGAAGGCTGAGAAGCTACACTAGAACGGGTATTATTATCTATGAAATTCCTTCTCGAGCAATTAGAGAAAGGCAAACAACAATTTCAAGACGATATAATACTTAGCCCATGTTTCAACTCAGCTTGGAAGGTTATAGACAAGTATTATGCACTAACTGAGCGGTATGTAATAGTACTATCTATAGTACTATCTATAGTACTATCAATAGTCTATAGTACTAACACTTTATAGGTCTTCTGCGTATATTGCTGCTGGAATACTCATTCCAAGTCAAAAATAGAAGTATTGCGAAGAGAATTGGCCTATTAACTGGGTAACACCAGCAAAGATAGCTGTTCAATCACTATGGGATGAGCATTACAAGCCAACAATTGAACCATCAATTATAGCTGCAATTCAACCTCAAAATAAGAAGAGCACATTTGAGGAGTGGGCTACACAAAAACGCCGTCAACCAGCTATTCAAGATGAGTATTTGAAATATAGCCAAGCTCCAGTTACCCCTGAATGTGATGCTCAGGGTTGGTGGATGGAAGGTGCTCAGCGGATAGCATATCCAAACCTCCAAAAGATGGCTCTTGATATCTTATCAATACCTGCAATGAGTGCTGAGCCTGAACGTTTATTCTCAGGGGCAAAGATCACAATTACAGATCGAAGGAACCGACTAGAGGTTGATACTATTGAGTATTTAGAGTGTTTAAAGTCATGGCTAAATCTTTCGACTAATTCTTGGATTGATGATGATGAGTAGTACTATTACTATTTCATTCTATATTAATGCTATTAGTTTCTAAATTATTATATATAACGTGGTTTATCAGTACGTCGGACATATCAGTACCTCGGACACTTTTCCCAAATTTTCTACCCTCTAACTTCACAACGAGTTTTTTCCACCTTTTATTATGTCAGTGATTACCCAAGAAGCAAAAATCATTCTAGCTATCGAGGCTATCCGAACATCAAAAAATCTAAGTCGTCGGAAGGCTGCTAAGCTCTATGAAGTACCTCATTCTACACTCTGCGACAGAATGAACGGCCGAACTACTGTCTACGAACGCCGGCCTGCAATGATGAAATTAACTATACTAGAAGAGGAGGTGGTTATTCGGAATATACTTGATATGGATTCAAGAGGATTTGCACCCCGGCTTGCTGGTGTAGAAGATATGGCAAATTTTATACTCGAATCGCGTGGAGGGAGGCGCGTCGGGAAGCTCTGGGCCCACCGATTTGTACAACGACGTCCAGAATTAAAGACGCGTTTTAATCGCGTTTACGACTTCCAAAGGGCCTTGTGCGAAGATCCTGAACTAATTGGCGCATGGTTTCGACTAGTGGAAAATATGAGGGCAAAATATGGTGTTTTGGACTGCGACTTCTATAACTTTGACGAAACTGGGTTTATGATGGGTGTGATTTGCCCTGCAATGGTTGTTACCCGTGCAGATCGACTTGGCAGAGGTAAGGCAGTTCAGCCAGGGAATCGGGAATGGGCTACAGCGATTGCTTGTATCAACAGTGACGGCTGGAGTATTCCTCCATTTTTGGTAGTTAAAGACAAGAATCATCTTGCAAATTGGTATACAGACGGCGGCCTTCCACACAACTGGGTTGTTAAACCGACAAGCAATG